GGTATGACCACCATTACAGGTTCTACAACCCAATAGAATACAGTCTTCCAAATGCATTTCCTATAATTCGAATTTTCATCGCCGATGGGATTCAAACTCTAGTCCTGCTGCTTGGGGGTGCGACAACTTGCCAACTTCACTAAGTTGCCACACCCTAATATAGCTATACTTTAATTATAACTATAAATTTACTTATAATGTTACAAACTTCAAGCTCAACTAACTTAAATCATTCAAAATTAAAACACTACTTTAAGAATTATTTATTTATTTACTTTATTATAATCTCTATTCTACTACTTTTTAATATACTAGCTGCTTCCACTATAGAGCATTAAACTCACCTCTATATTGGCTTAACTGCTTTAATTCAAAATTATTCTAATATATAATTAATATTTGAATTAATTACTATCTTAATTTCATTAAACTAGACTTAATACCTAATCAAAAAAATAGAACAAATTTACTAAATTCAACAACATGAAGCATTCAACCTTGTAGCAGTTTACTAATCTTTACATTATCTAAAACTTACTTTTAAAGGCCTAGTTCAAATTTTCTAGTCTGAACAGTCCAAAACTTCTATATACTATACAAACAAATATCCTATATTATTATTGAACTATTGCTTAATATTAACAAGCAAGTATACAAACAACTTTAAAAGCCTTACTGTATTAATTTCTTTAACTAAAGGAAGTAGCAACAGATAATATATCTTTAGTCTAAACCTAGAAATACATTCTTTTTTTTTTGAATATTAATGGTAAGACTATGTTTCTGTCTTTATTAAAATTTAATTTAACTCTCTTACAAAGAAAGATTATACAGGAGTATAACTCTTATACAAAGAAAAGAATAAATTTAAACTTCATATTCTAAGATAGCAAGAAAAGAAACTCAAACTAATTTATTTGTGGCCTAAACTAATAGAAATACATTCTTAAATAATAATAAAATTAATTATCTATATATAAATTATACTTATACTTATATATGTGGAATAGCAGACCAATTATATTCCTACTTAAATAATTGCTTTTCTATAGGCTAGGCTCAGAAAAATTGGTATCTAATATATATATTAGATTAAATATAGTATTGCATTAAATTTTATCCCATCTATAATAATCTAGGTAAGTCTTTGACTACTTTAGTAGGTTTAGATTGCAGATAAATATATCTAAGCTTTTATTTTTGCATATAATTTTTATTTTATTTATACTTATACAAATAGTAGTATTTCTATATAGTCTCTATATAGTTACTATTCTTAAAATTACTAATAAAGATATAAGCAAGATCTCACCTTAATACTAAAAAAAAATAAAAGTTTATCTTTATTTTATAAAAACTCTAAAGAGAAAGTAATTAAAAATAATTAGAAAAGATTTTTTGCTAAAGATATTCAAATTGAAAAAATTATATTAATCAACATAAGTATCTTAAGTTTATTTATTACTAGTAAATAGATTATGAAATTGCCAGTTTTTAAACTACAATCATATATCAGATTTTTAATTGCCTATATAAATAGTTTGTGTAATAACATGCTTAGAATTTATTAGATGCAAGTTTCTTCTATACTAGTTGTTAATTTTAAAATATATAAATGCAGAGAATTTAAATAAATAATTTAAGTAAATGAGTTATAAGTATAATATCTAATATAGAACCTAGTAATAGACAGACTACTTAAATAAATCTTTACTAAATATAGATATAATTAGTATATACTTTTAAATATAAAAATAACTTGTTTATACAATAAATATATATCTGACCAAGATCATTTTAATATTAAAAAAAACTTCAATTTTGCTTTAACTTTGTTACTTAATCTACTTTTGCTTTTGTAAAATTTATTTAAATCTCAAAACTAACTTTACAATATATTTTTAATACTTTTAATAACCATTAATACTTTTTTCAAACTTTTAATACAAATAGTCTAGTTTTGTACTTCTTTTTTCCAAGTTTGATAATGATTTAATTAGTATTGATAATTTTATTTTTTTATTTGTTATTATACTAGTTAGTACTTCAAACTTCCAAGCTAAATAGTATGTACTTTTTTTATTTGACAAAAATCCTCTTAACAAAGTAGTCTAGTTGGTTTTGTATTAATGCTATAATTTTTAAAAGCTTTCAAACTAAGTGGTCTAGTTTTTTCTATTTGCAGTAATCTAATTGGTAAATATACTTTCTGATATCTTGTCTTTATCTAGTTTAGTTTATATAGATTCTAGTTTTTAAATTTAATCTTTACAATAGCTTTGTTAAAAGTTTATACTACTTTTCTACTCAAATCTTGTTAAGTAAGCTTCTTCTATATTTATAATTTTGGGGATTTATATAACCAAAAAACTTATATTGTATTTAAACTACCAAATACCAGTTTGTATCTCTTTAAATAATATTTTTGTTATATAAATACCAGACCTTCTAGTCTTGCTGACACAACTATAGTTACAGATATTCTATTCTAACTATTAACTAAATACAGTTAACTATAATACAAGCAGAATTTTTAAATTTTATTGCTAGTAGAATTCAAACTCTTGACATGCTGTTTAGGAAGTACTAACTTAACTATTTTGCTATATTAATACGACCATACTCAAAAATTTTTTATGATCTGTCGCGATCAAACAAATCAGCCATCATCTCTATCTTCAGGTTCAATTATCATGCGAGAGCGGTAACCTTTTTTAGGCGGCTTGTTCGTGTATCGATCCAAAAGCTCAATAACGTTATCTAATAGTAATTAATCACATAAACTTGTTAAATAACGCGTGAGAAAGTTAGGTAAGAATACAGACCTTTAAATGATTTATCATTAAAATCCTTTACGGTATATTTCAAACGACGCCAGACCTTCATTAAATAACCTGGAGTCCTAATATATATGTGTTACGATAAATTATATTCAAATCAAAGTCACCTAATATACAATTTACCATGGGCCCCATCTTTCGTCATTTAAATCACTCCAGTCTACAGAGGTTTCATCATCTTTTTGAGCCTCATATAACCTTAACGATAAACAAAAACCAATGAATATCCAAATTCATTTGTTACATATATGATTGAATATTTATAAGCTTATTATCTTACTTCTTCACTAGTGTATAACTATCGTACGATGTCCATCTTGGAGCAGGTCCATCAAGTTCATATTGTAGTCTTAATTCTTTAACCCTAAAGATCAGATTTATAGTTAAGCAGTTTCTTATGATTTCTAAACGTATAGTCTATTATGTACCACTTCGCACGACATTGGTTTGGTGATCTAGTATTTTCCATTAAGGAAGAGACTTGTTGCCATGGGATTCCCCAATCCAAAGAAATGTCAGCATCATTTTGCCTAGTTAATTCGACAATGATATTTATTAATTTTTGCTCTTCTTCGTCGGTCCATTTACCTAGTAAAAATTTATTGTTTTAGAATAATCTGAAATTATTATGTTCCCGATATTAAAAAATTATAATCATGTAATATTAACCACGTAATTTTTCTTTTCTATGTTGGAGGTAATCTCGCCATCGATCCCTACATTGCGTTCCCATGCGTCCTAATTCATTTCCGATTGTGACCCAATCATGATGATGATTCATGACGAGCCTTTAGTAGTTACAAAATAACGATAGCAATAAATAAAGGTATACCTAAGGGATAAACAAATTTAAAGCGTATTTACATGATTAACTGATCATCTTCCTCAGGGCTCCATGTCCCGGTGTAATTGAATGGATGATATCGTCTTTGAATATGCTGAGAAACAGTCTTTAATGGTCGTGTTCCCAAAGCCATTGCTAATAAATAAAAATTTAATATTAGGATGTTAATGAATAAATATTTCTATAAAAATATACCTAGGTGTTTCCAGAACTTTTCATGAGCTTTTGGATTTCTTCCATATATCAATTTTTTAATATCATCATCAGACAGACCATTAAGCTGAAATTTGAAAAATAGATTTAAGATTACAAATAATAAGTGACAAAAATTTATTAAATACCAATTTTACGAACTTTTTGGTAATCATGCAATGCTTTATTTAATTCAGATCTTTCTTGTTTTGAAAATTTGCCCTTTTTATATTTTATACCTTAAAACAGCATACAATTTTAAAACATTTTTCAAATGAAACAAATACATTAGATGTTATTATACTAACCTAGCTTATCAAGTGCTTTTCTCTCAAGCCATCTATTAGTTAAGATAGTACGTTGAGTTGCATTGTCAAGATCAACGACAGAATCGCTTTTCGTCATTTGAACCATATTTAAACGTGATATAGAAGTATCATCTGTACAAAATTAAATTATGAGACATGCTTGAATACAATTAAGATTCAAACATCTGATCTCGATAACTCTTCAATCGATAACCCGAAACGAAAAATGTTATAATTTTGACAAACTGGTCTAATATAACTATAGGTGCAGATTTATCTACTTCACTAGTTACGGCTAATTATTTTATAAATCGGTTTGACGTAACTTTTTATACTGTATAAGATGTAACTAGTGACGTCATAAGTCTGCATCTAATAAATGGGTGAGTCAGTAGAAACCACCAAACCTTTTTTAATGAAATTTTTTTTGAATCTTTGAACAAAAATAACTCAACAAAAGCTTAATTATCGCTGTTTTCGAAATGGTTGAAAATGACAAATAATTTTT